TATATAGAAAGTTTACTAAAACCTTTAAACGCTTTTAGCCACGATATCATACTGTGTTTTTATAATAACACACACACAATAATTAGAGTTCACAGGGAGTCTAGTGCTTTCCTGTAAAAGTGTGCCCACTGAATAAAAACGAACGTTTTATATAAAGGCATACAACTCTCTCATCTTATTCAGTGATATACTTACATATGGTCTAGAATTACAGACTATCTATTCTTTGTCTATAAGTCTCAACTCTATTGAAGTCTCAAAGTGGCACACATCGTACCAATTCGCAGTTGGCTTATGTCTATCTGACTGTATGAGTACAACTGTGATACTATCGAACACCCATCATCAGCACAATGCCTACAATCTCTGGACACGGAGCCTTCGAGTTCTCAAGTACAAAGGCGGAACGGGGGATAAAGCAGAACTGCGCCCAGTTTTTGTTGGCTGTAGTATAGAGACAGATTATATCGCTTATTTCTAAATTTTGCAGTCTATGTACACGGCCCAGAGAGTCGACGAAAACAAAGCTCCATTCGTAGCGGAAAGAAGGCGCATATGTTCTAACTTTGGTGGCAGTCAAAACAAAAGCTGTTACCACATCAATGCATGATCCACAGTCATGTTGAAACTTTCGCATGTTAAAAATAGGAGTCCAATCATTGCCCCACTACACAATATTATCGCGTAGTAAGTCGGTAGCCCATTGTGTGCGGGCTATAATAAGGCTCAGTAATGGGGAACTATGTAGATATATTGTATTGCAAAAAAAAGAGTACTAACCATTTTTTCACAAAATTGCTTTAAAGTCCCGCATCTCATGTAATTCGAGTTGGGGTTATGTTGGTGGCGTTTGAAAGCTGGGATTTGACGGTAGTAGATGTGCTAAAGCTGCTAGGATGCTTTCATTCGGACCTAGGACAGAATGAATTTCTGCAAATATTCGCTATACGTTACAAATGTATTGCGATAAACCAACAAATGCTGCTTAGGTTCTTAAAAAAAGCTGCACTGTTTCTGGTCAAGATGCATTATGGGAAGAAAATGGCCCGGCCCAAAAATGGTTTTCTCTTTTTTTGTTTTTCGATATGACAGATGCTCCCCGTAGTGATCGACCAGTTACGATAAAAGTTGATAAAATTATTGCGGAAGCTGAGTGAGACCAGCGTGCGAGTAGCTATGATATTGCCAAGGAACTAACTATCGACCATCAAATACTTTTAAACTATTTAAAGAAGCTGGGTACAAAGGAGAGCTCTATGTAGAGCCAAGTGAAGTGGCCCAAGAGAACTCGGTCGTATTTCCATCTGAAACATACTGAGATATCGAAATCGAGCTATTTTTAAAACGCTTGATCACAGCTGACGAAAACTGGATTACATATAACAATTATGTGCTCCTCAATCTATGGAAAAGCTTACACTGATATCAAAGGGGATGATGCTATACGTTTGGTGGGACTAGGATGGAATCGTGGATTGTGAGTTGCGGCCTAATAGAACGGTCGATTCAGCCTTTTGCTAACAACTAACAAGGTTACAACAAGCAATTGAAAAAAATGGACCTCAACTAATAGAAAGAAAAGAGGTCGTTTTTCGCTATGATAGCATTAGACCACACATATTTTTAGCTATTCGGCAAATATTCAGATTGGATAAATTGGATAGATAATCTTTATGCTTGCGCCGTATGGCCTGGATCTTGCACCGTTGGACATAAGTCTCTGCAGAACTTCCGTAAAGGTGTTAATTTGGCTTCAATGAAGGGATCACTTGTAACAATTTTTTGCCCAGAAACCAAAAAGTTTCCTTAGTAAGGGGATTATGGTGCTGCCAGAAAAATTTTAGAAGGTCATCGATTGAAATGGCACATATTTAGCTTAGTAATTTGAAATATAAAAAATTCCATTTTGTCTTCAAAGCATGAGTTTCATGACTCGTGCCAGTTTACGCCAGCCCCTACTAGCTGTCGCTGCGCTTGTTATTAGCTGGGTTGGCTAAAAAATAAGGGTGGACAATTGAGAGCACAAAAACAAAAAGTCTATTCTATACTTGGTTTTCTAACACAGATTTAGATATACCACGAGATCACATATAACTAGGCTGATACAGTTGCTATTACACTATAAACTTTCAATTATAGAATAAATATGTGGCCTTTGCTCGCCTTCAGCGATTATTATTTCATTTAAGCTACGCGCCAGGTGTTCCAAAAAGCACCTTGAGGCTCATGCACAGTAAATTTGATGAATATTTGCACGTTCTTGATATACCTTTGTGTTCCGAGTTTTACGTCGGGTATCGCCGTTAGGTATTCCATCCGAGGGCTGGCTGGCTGGCTCCCAGCACGAAACGAAGTTGTCTATGCCCGGGTTCGAGCCTCGACCACAACGTGTCCCTAAAATTAGTGTTGCACGTAACTCCTAACATAAGCTCTCGATATACCTGCGTTTATCGTGCCATGAAGCGGTCTATATTGAATTACATAGTTGTTCATTTGTAGTCGTTGCACAGAAACGTAAAGCGGCGCCGTTTCTCATAATGGCTTCTTAACAGCACGCCGATGTGACCGAAAAATCCATTCGTGAAACCCGTTCATATCTTTTGGGGCGCGTGACCACTGTACGTAAGTAGTCCACCATTTCAGACGTTTAATGCATCATCACCAAGATAGAACTTTAATACTCACGCAGGATTATTCCACACGGATTTAGTATCACACACAATATTCCTAATGGCATAGTCTGTTCGCATAGCAACACTAATGAATGACTAAATTTCGCTAATAGGAGTCGTATAGCAGGACGATTTATCTCCGCGGGTGCTTCGCAATGCAATATTATATGTGAGCAAACGGGGCTTCGAATTGGAAGACGCAAAAATGGCGGGTAGGTGAAGAAGACAAGTTAGCTGCAGACAGTGAGCAAAGTTCGCGGGAACTAACTGTATTAGGAAATCACGACCTGACACCGTCGTGGCCTATTACCTGTACACGTTGTCCGTGAGTCATGTCGCGTACTAGATTCCTTTTGAGGTGCCGCCTTTGGCGTCAGCAAACGCAACTCCATCAGGGCATCACGTGCCTTGCGGCCGATGTTCAGCAATTCATTCAGTCGACAAATTTCAGACTAATGGTACAAGCGCGCGCATTAACGGGGGCATCGACAGCATAAAGGTTGTTTGACCCTGCCTCCAACTATTAGATAGTAATGCCACCTTGTCGGTTGTCTAATGGGTAAAGCAGCATGACAGCGTTCAAGAACGTGGACGTCGTAGGAGTAATCGTAGTGGAATAAATAACAACAGTATGTATCCTTGTCATTGTAGCCGAAAGACAAAGTTAGCAAACTTCGGCTCACAAGGCGACATCGTCGTTGATGCCGCGACATATTTAACTCTGTTTGCGCGACTGAGGACGTTGCTATTGTAGCGCAGCATGCTGAGTGAGCGGCATAAAGTTTTACTTTGAGATTTTTTATGAAAAGCTGTAGCTCCATGGGGATACGCGTGCATAAGAAAACGAGAGAGAAGGACTCACAGGAATTTTCTGTGGGGTGGGGATTTTAGCAAAATTAAGCTGGAAAAGGAGTTGAAGTGCTGTGCTCCGAAGTTCAAATGAAACGAAGACGCGATGTGTGGAGGCCGCTTAAGAAAGTTGCTTCTCCAAGAACTGTAAAACAACGCCTACCCGGTCACTGGTATGAAATGAAAAAAAATTTGAGTGAAGTTGAAGTTATAGCGTGCTATAAAATACGAACATATCTCGAAAAATATATGATCAGGTCGAGTGGCTAATATACATATGTTTGTTATGCATGAATGTGACACATTGACATGGTCTTCATTTCTATATTTTCTCGAGATGAATAACCGGAAAAAAATGAACGGTGCCAGTTAAAAGGAAAAAAGTATTGAAATTTACTTCCTTTTGCAGTATTGTGTATACTCTATGCCCAGAAAGCTGCCTTTGGCGACAGGGATTTTGTCCATTGATGTAATTCGCAGCTGATCCTCGCTAGAAGTGTTATCGGCGCAGAAGGCATCGCTTTGGTTTTTGTCGTGCTCGTTAATTGCTAATAGTCCAACACCCATTTCCTTAAACGTCTATGTCATAGTTAATCAAATAAGCATGGATCGACATGGATAGCTGTGTCCTATTTTCAGATCTCGCACGGTTAGGTGTAGGTCTCTATTATGTTTAAATGGTTTGTACTCGAACAATCATTGGAAGATTGACAATACAAACAAGAGCCAGAAAATTGGACAGAACGTAACGTCAACAGGATTGAACAGCTGACTGTCCTAAAAATGTCCAGATTTAAAGTTTTCATTCGTAGGTATAGCCAACTCAATAGATGATAACAAAATTACAACTTTATGGTAATGTTTCCACAGTTCTCACTTAGTCGACGGCTTACATCAGTATGATGCCCGAGGAGACAAGGGCACTATTATATTTGCATGTTTATTTCATTTTTTAAAATTAGTTCTTTTGTATCATAGGTGAGTGCGACTGATTCCTGACGTTTTCTTGACTGATTCGCAATCTTCCCAACGATCGCATAGACTTTTTAAAATCGTTGCGATTTTCAAAATATCTGAAGTTGACGAATGTAAAGGACGGACCTGATTAAGTTAATTCTTGGAAAAAAAAAGTTATGCTAGCATTTGTAATTGTCAAGTGATATTAATGTCAGTTGGCCCAAATTTTTGTAACAAGAAATTATTAATGCTCAAATAATAATTACTACTCATTTCTATTCTAGCCTAAGCTATCAGTTCGTTTACAATCATTAGGTCCTAAAGCATATTCTGACTCACGATTTTGCAAATGTTTTACGTTCCATCTCCGTTAGGCCAAATAGCATGTTATTTAAGAACACCTCGACCGACTATCACGGTTCACTCAACGATTTACATAGATGATGCTGTAGTTGTTAATAGTGATCATAAGAAAGAACGAAGGAGGTAATTTTCACAGTGGCAATGTAACATCATTGTTGTACTTTCTAACATTACTGGTATACAGTGGATTTGGGCTAGCGAAATTCATTCTACAAGCTTTCAAGACAAATTCAAAAGGCTTACGAACCGTACATTATTTCAGCTTTGTCAATCTCTGTAAACAATATGATCTATACATTTCGCAGTCCAATAACAGAGTTTTCGAAACCTCGTGCCAGATAAAGAATCAAATGTGTGCCTGTTTGCCTCTCTGCTCACATAAATCATCTTTATCAGTCTATCTTAAACTAACTTCTATCGGCTTCGTATCAACCTAATATTCTCTAAAAATATGGATTGCGTATGCTAAATCAACTTGGTTAAAACAGATGAATTCGTACATCAGCACGTGACAGAGCTGTCTATACAGTTTGAATCATCTGTATGATATACAGAATGTCGTTCATCTTGTTGAACCTAATTTTGGTTAGCCACTTAATTCTAAGGACGATCTCTACATAAGTCTGTTTACTTTTATCCTGATTATTTTAATACAAGCTTTTTTTCACGTCAACGACTAATTGCACAACAAAAACTGGTCGTTATTTGGTACACATTTGAGATAGGTGGATTGCGTGATCATTGATTCCGATTGGGTTGTGTCTGTTTAAAGCATCGTGGCTAGGACAGAGAGCCGCAAGGTTGGGATGCCGGTCATCGCAGCCGCTTCCCGCTGAACAAGAGAAGGCCGATGATAAAGCGGGCAATAACGAGCCAAAGAAACAGTTCGACACCCGCGACAACGCCAGCGGGCCTGGGCACGCAGGGTGAAATTGAGGAGATCAATAACCAACTCAACGGTAACCACCTCAGGGCCGAGAAGGCTACCGTCGTGCAATCAGATAAGAAGCAGATATTTAGATTAAGACTTATGAAACACACGTGTCGCTGAATATGGCTAGGACGCAAAGCATGCAGGGTT